GGGGGGGGCTGGGGGGTGGGGGCTGCAGGCGAGTTGCAGACGTTGCAGAGTGGCGCGCTGCTGCCCACAGTGGGGCTGAACGTCGTTGGGGCTGAACGACGTCGAGGTCGGCGGCGTGTCCAGCGCGGGCGCACGGCGTCGGCGGCGTCACGATCGGACGACGACGCGAGGACGTGGACGCCGGACGAACTTCGGTGGCGGCGCGCACGCCGGCGCTCCCCCTCCTCGCCAGCAGACGACGCTAGCAGACGACGCTGGCGGGCGACAGTCGCGTGCCGGACGCGGCGGTGGGGATTGGCTCGAGCGGGCTGTAGAGCGGGCAAGCGGGCGGGCGTACCGGCGGGCGGGAGGACGCCCTCGAGCAGGAGGAGCACGTCGCTGACGACACACGCGGCGACATGGAGCCCGGCAAGGAGGAAGACGAGGAGGAAGTGAGTGTTCTTGGAGACCAACAAACGAGTGCGAGTGACGAAGGCGAGTGAGGAGTGCAAGTCCCCCCAGCAGGATGGGGCGACGATGTGGACGCAAAACGAGTTTTCAGACTCGAATGGCTGGCTACAGTAGACGGCGTATAGTGTGCCGCCTGAAAGGTAGGCAATTTTTGCCACAAAAACCCTGTCTGTAGGCAACCCACGGTGCACCCCTCCCCCACCCCCCAATTGCCAGCCGGACATATACCGCACCTGGGACGTCGGTTTATCTTCCGGGATCGTACGATTCGTGTGAAAAGACGGCAGTAGACAGGTGTGGTCTCTCTCTCTCTCTTTTATTTTTCTCTGTATTACTCTCCTGGACCCTGGGCCTTGGCCCTCACGTCGTGGGAGCTCGTGTCGGCCGGCCCCTGTCTCCTCACCGCATGATTTACTCCGCGTTCCCCGCCTCTCCTTGGCGCGCACCACCGGCGTATCTCTGTAAGAGCCCTTCTTCCACCACCACCCCCTCCCCTCTAACCTCGACGCGTAGTAGTGCGAGCGTTGTGCGAAACAAAGAATTTAGAAAAACAGTTAACAGTTGCCAAGCAGGCGTATAGTCTGCTGAAAACAGAGTGAACACGGCGGCGCAGCCCAAACACACGCAACACACCTCCGGTCGTAATAGTGATGCAGTGCAGTTCGCAATGTACCCCGTGATGTATGTAAAATATTTCACAAGTACTCGCGACTAGATTCACCAGCAGACAAACATTGTCGCGACTTATTTCGGTTGACTGGGCGCAGCGCGGGACGCTGCCGGAGCTTGCCCGCGGCCGGAGCGCCTGGAGCTCACGCCGTCCCGTAGCGCGCGCGCGTGCGGCGGGCTGGCCTACCCTGCGGTCCGCAGGCGCCCGGCCCCGGACGCGCCGGCTGGAGTCTGGAATCGCGAGGCTGCCGGAGATAAACAAGCGGGTCGTGCAGGTAAAGAGGTCACACAACGCGAGACAGCTAGGCAGATTGCCTGGAAGTGACTGCCCTCCCCCCTCTCCTCGGAGCACCCGGAGCTTAGGCCGGCCCGCAGCGCCCGCGTGTAGGGCGGGCTGGCCTACCCTGAAGGTGGCAGGCGGCAAGTCGGGCCCGGCGTGGGAAATACAAGACGTTGAGTTCGTGCGTGCGTGCGTGCGTGCGTGCGTGTGAGTGAGTGAGTGAGTGAGTGAGTGAGTGAGTGAGTGAGTGAGTGAGTGAGTGAGTGAGTGAGTGAGTGAGAGAGAGAGAGAGAGAGAGA